GTCACGACGAGGTGATGAAGATGTTCTGCCGCACTGATCAGCAGTGTATCTGTTATCTCTGCTCTGTGGACGAACACAAAGGCCACGACACGGTGTCAGCTGCTGCAGAGAGGACTGAGAGGCAGAGAGAGCTGGAGGGGAGTCGACTAAACATCCAGCAGAGAATCCAGGACAGAGAGAAGGAGGTGAAGCTGCTTCAGCAGGAGGTGGAGGCCGTCAATGGCTCTGCTGATAAAGCAGTGGAGGACAGTGAGAAGATGTTCACTGAGCTGATCCGTCTCATGGAGAAGAGAAGCTCTGATGTGAAGCAGCAGCTCAGATCCCAGCAGAAGAGAGAAGTGAGTCGAGTCAAAGAGCTTCAGGAGAAGCTGGAGCAGGAGATCTCTGAGCTGAAGAGGAGAGACGCTGAGCTGAAGCTGCTGTCTCACACAGAGGATCACAACCAGTTTCTGCACAGCTACCCCTCACTGTCAGCCCTCAGTGAAACCTACACACTCCTCCAGCATCAACATCCGTCCTCTGAGGCTACTTTGAGGACGTGACGGCGGCCCTGTCAGCAGTCAGAGACAAACTACAGGACGTCCTGAGAGAGGAATGGACAAACGTCTCACCGACTGAAGTGGAGGTTTTACTGTCAGCAGCAGAGCCCACCACCAGAGCTGGGTTCTTAACATATTCACAGGAAGTCACTCTGGATCCAAACACAGCAAACACACAGCTGTTATTATCTGAGGGGAGCAGAAAAGCAACACTCATGAAACAACGTCAGTCTTATTCTAGTCACCCAGACAGATTCACTGTTTATGAGCAGGTCCTGAGTAGAGAGAGTCTGACTGGACGTTGTTACTGGGAGGTGGAGCGGAGAGGAGGAAGAGTTCGTGTTGCAGTCGCATACAAGAATATCAGCAGAGCAGGGGGGGGGGCCTGAATGTGTATTTGGACTCAATGACAAATCTTGGTCCTTATTTTGTTACCAAAACAGTTATTCATTTTGTTACAACCGTATCCTCACTCCCGTCTCAGGTCCTCTGTCCTCCAGAGTAGGAGTGTACCTGGATCACAGAGCAGGTGTTCTGTCCTTCTACAGCATCGTCTCTGAAACCATGACTCTCCTCCACAGAGAGCAGACCACATTCACTCAGAGCCGCTACATGCTGGGGTTCGGCTTTGTAATCAAGGAGCCACAGCTGAGTTGTGTAAACCTGAAATAGCCTGAAGGTCATTTGAGGAACTCTTCTACTTCTTAAAGTCACCGTGTGTCCATCAGAGCTGATTGCTCATGTCTTCACTGCACAGAGATCAGCTGTCAATCAAAACATGATGGGATGTTGCTTGAACATGTTCTCATGAGTTGTTTGTAGATGTTGGAGTTCCTTTAGGCGGCGCTCCTTCCTGTCTCTGTTTAGAGCCATGGAGGCTGATTGAAGAAGGAAATCAAACACATTCAAAGAAAAAGTCATTCAAAAGAAAAGCTAACGGGTTGAGTTTGTAATGAATTATGTTTCTATTTTCAAGATGTGAGATGAGTGCCACATTAACACATGTCTGTACTAAATAATATGTTGGGGTTTTACTTAATAAAGAAATAAGAGGACAAAAGGTGAAAATCTCAGTCTTTTGTTTTTTAATTATAAAAATATCTCTTATTTAAAACTTAAACATCGAATGTAAAGTAATAAAAAGGTCAAATATATTTTCTTCTTGTTCTTCAGAGAGTGATGAAAACTGCTGCAACACTTTTTAGAGCGTAACACCGGGAGGATGTTGAAACCAGAGCTGAAAAAGGTGTACTTGAACAAGATGAAAAAGCATCTGTTGCTAAGATGTAGCAGGAAATAAATAATGGAGGCTGGAGGCCGTTTCTCTCTCTGGAAGGTATTGAAGCAATATGCTCATTTTCCATTACAAATATTAATATAACATATTTAAAGTATTCAAATGCAACAAAAAGAGGTGTGTCCTCTGCAGCCAGTGTAGTTATTTTATCCAGCACTGATTTTGAGTCATTAGGTCACATGATCTAGAAGGTATTGAAGAAATATGCAAACGTTTCCATCAAAATATTAAAACGTATTTAAAGTATTAAAATGCAATAAAAAGAGGTGTGTTCAACAAATGTATGTTGTCCAGGGTGTGCCACACCCTGGACAACAGTATTCAACCCGGTGTGGTCCGTTTGCATTAGTCAACAATACACAGAAGGATTGTGGGCACTTTTATTTCACCCGGTTATTTTCCAGTACCTCTTCAATCAAATAACACAAAGGAGAAACGAAGAAGTTTGACTTTTTTTTAAATTATGATCAACCATTGGTTTATATATATATATATTTTGCCACTTTGAGTTTCACGCCATGCCTGAAAATACTAAAAACAATCCAATTCATAAAATATTGCAAAAAGTGAAATGAAAACCCCCTGATCCTGATTTAGAAAGAAACAGCAGGCCAACACCAGATAATCATGGAAACGTTAAGCGTTGTAAATGTGTTGCTTATTTGATTCCATTGTGTTTCAAATGTCTGATTATATTAACCACATTTTCTGCAGAAATGTTTTAATCTTAGGTGAATCACGAAAAACACTTTATAACGTTATAAGTTATTCAAAGAAATCAGGACACCAAGAGTTTGTTTCTGTATTTATGACACACACGAAGAAACAAAGAACTTGCAAAACATGCAAAAAACACAAAAGAGATGAAAAACAAGTGACAGAAAAGGTCAAGAAACAGAAGTTCCAAAAAGGTCGACCAGTAACTAAACATAAGGGAACGAATGATAACGAATGTAATAAAGTGATCAATCATAATTCAAACTGAAGAAGTACATTTGACTTTGAATTGTTATTAAACCCGTCAGAAATGACCAAATTTAGTTTTTGAAATTGAAGTAATGGATCGTAAAATATAACAGTATTTCTCATGGATTATCTGAAGTGAAAACACCGGGATAACCATGTGCTATTTGGTGGAAGTACACTTTGGTGGAAGTACACTTTGGTGGAAGTACACTTCAAAACTGTAGGTTTATGGTACACATTTTGTTTTTGTCAAACAGAACTAAAATAAAAAATCCTAATTTGCATTTGGGTCAATCAGGAGGCTTTTTCAATGTTTCCAACTGTGATCATCATCCAACAATGATGTGAAACAGTCTGATTATCAGAGAGGAGAGGAGAGAGGAGAGAGGAGAGAGGAGAGGAGAGAGGAGAGGAGAGGAGGA